CTCAGGCCCTCCGAGCTTTAACCTGCTGGGATAAGCTCGGCACTGACCCGCTAAAAGCCACTGAAGAACCGAGAAAACCGCATTACTTTTAAAGAAGTAATAGTGAGCCCGACTCAGGTTTAAGTTGTACCTTGCTAATGATGTTTCCCTCAGCTGACAGCCAGAGCCCGGCAGGTTAATCCCCTGACGGGAGGACGAACAGCCGGGGAGCGCTCTCAGAACCCCGGCTGGCCGCGGTTTGCAGCTGCTGCCCTTAGAAATTCACCCGCAGCCACGGGAAAGACGAAGATTTGCTGGGTGGGAGTTTTTGTTTTCTGCTTTGTTTTGGGTTTCTGGGGGGTTTTTTTATTTTTCTTTGTGGTTTTGTGTTTTTTTCAGGACAGCTTCAGAATTATAAGTTTTCCATGGAGTTTTCTGTTTTGTTTTCTTGTTGGTAGTGGGACTGAAAACTGGTGCGGACAAATGTTCAGCTTCATACTCGAGGTTTAGCTTTAACTTATTGTCGGGTGTGAATTACAAACATAAAAGGTTAGTTTATAACTGGAAACTATTTGGAGCGCTTTACATGACCACAAACTATCAGGTATTGGTAGGTTTTGTAGATACACGCCTAGGTACGTAAAGTAATGAAAACTGAAACCATGTCTCGGTTTATTTTTTTCACGCAGAGGACTTGTCTACACTCTACATTCCCAGAGTGAAAAAGATTTCCATCTATGATGATGACAGATTTTACAGGAGACCATATGGTAATATCAGGCTTTAGTAGAATAAGGTGGTTTTAAATGGAAAACAAAGTAATCTTTATGGATCTTTTATAGTACTTATACTGCAGTAGTGTTTAGAATATGCTAAATGCTGCAACAAGCACCAGCTGAATTTACATCTGAAGCATGTCAGAATCTGAATAGAAAAGTGGGAGGGAGGGAAAGAGGGATTAATTTTCCCCCAAAAGCAAATTTTTAAAATAAAGGTAGCAATTGTATATGCTGGTAGCCTTTACAACCTTGAATATTGTGTTTGTATACAGACAATGAAGTACAAACAGCTATTAATGCTGATTTAGAATGCAGACTTACAACAAAGAAGTACATGCATTATACAGCTGTATCTAGAACAATCTGTAATTGCCACTTTTTAATTCTATAATTAATTGTGTTACTACCATAAAATCAGTCATCTGGAATAATAAGCATATACTTTTAAGCTGCTATTTAAGTAAACTCTTAAGTGATAACCTCTTGTTAATTGCCTCAAAACTTTTCATTTTGCATCTTGAAGGCAGAGGAAAGTCGTATGTGCACCTTATGTAAAACTGTGTTTCTTTGTTTGTTTCTGCCTCCAGAAATCTTCAGCAGCCCTTCACTTACATGAAAATATTCAGATCACTTTTTTGTCCTAGTAATTTGCTTTATCAGATGGTACAGTGACTGTTAATATAGAATGTAATTTACTGTGTTCTGTAAAACTTCTTTTAGTTCATGAAGAAAAACTTACATAGTCTAACTTAGCAAATATAACTTGATTCAGATAATTTACAAAAAAAAACCAAACTGTATTAGTAGTAAACTTCTGTAAACGTAGGATTCTGACCACACCAAAGGTTATACCCTATTTGCCATTCTACAGCCAGTGACAGTCAGTAGTAGATTGAGGAGTTACTAGGAAAATAGAAGGTTCTGTTAAGCTTAATTCTCAGCTGCACAAAAATCACTTCCTGCTATAATTCATATCAGTCATGACAGGTAACCTGAAATTGGAGACCTCAGTCCAACATCATGATAGTTTCCTGCCTGGACCTTCTTTTCTCTGGCTCCTGGACCACAGTGGCTAGTTTATTCTGTCATCCATTCCTATATTTCCATGTGGCAAGTGCTTGCAAGGATGAATGACTAACTAGAGTGATTAGCAGAAAGCAAACACATACATGTATTTATCTGTTCTAGCACAGTTGAAGGTAGAACATGGAGAGTGTGCTGGTACACAAGCAACAGGAAGGTTGAAGCCCTTAGTAAGTGCAGCTTCTTTTCTTTAAAAACTCAGGATCTAGTATGACTTTTGGACTGTTTCCAATTGCCAAGGCCTGTATTTCAAAGGCAGCCTTGGAACTTGTGGAATTCCAAGATAATGGCTAGGACACAGTGCAATAAAAGTTGTCCAAGTGAACAATGAACCATGTACATGTGCCACCTTCTTAAAGCCTTTAATTCAAACTACTATAAACAGGTCTTTAAATAAACATGCTAGCTTACAAATTTTTAACTACCAAACAAAATAAGGCCTAATAAATGCAGAGGAATTACTGCTGTTGGAACTTGGCAACTGACATCTCCAAGAGAATTTAGAGGCAGCTGGTTTATTATACATCACCACAAAATACTCTGGATCAGCAAGTATTTCATTTGTAACAGCTTTTAAATCTGAATTCTAATGCAAGGGGCGGGGGGATGTGTAGACAGGTATCATGTGGAGGTCTGTCACTACTTTGCCATGATAGTCTTCTTAATTTGTAGTGGTTACAAATACAGCGTGAACTCAGTTTGAGGAAACTAACAGAGGGTTCACAGTATCAAGAGGAACTGAAATATGACTTCAATATAAAAGGGGAGCTGAGGCACTTGGATACAAATGAGTCCTTTGTTTTCAATTACTACAAGAATGGACATGAGCAGAATCATAAACGCTATGAAGTTCTGGGACATTTTATTACCCAGTATGTTTATGAGCTCCTGGAAAGAGTCTGCATGCTGCAGAAGGTTTATATTCCTACTGATGCTACACAGGATGAACCAAGAAGTTTCTTTTTCATGAGCAAAAATGCACTAACAAGTTCCTCTAGCCTAATTATCCTTCTTCAGGACCGTGGAGTTTTTTGTGCTGGACAGTGGGGGCGAAGGGCAATTGTCAGTGAGGGCCTGAGACATGGAACACAAATACCATTCATCAAAATGGCCCTGCAAAGCCAATGGGAAGTGATTGTGCTGAACCCCAATGACAATTTCACTGATCTGAACACTGAAAACGAGAGATTTTCTGCCAAGGAAGAAGCACTTACTTTTCCACAGTCCGTCTGGTGGATCCCCAAGAGGGGCAGCAGCAGCCCTGAGGAGCATACCATGTATGTATGGGATCATTTCATTGCAAAGAGTGCAGCCAGGAATGTGGCCTTCATTGCCCATGGCTATGGGGGGTTGGTGTTTGTTGATCTGCTGGTGCAGAGGAAACATGAGGTAATAAATAAAGTGTACTCAGTGGCATTCATTGACTCCACGCACAACATGCAGCACCAGAGCAGACATGATCCAGAAATACAGGAATGGATACGCAGAAACTGCCAGGAATGGGTGTCGAACAGTAAACCCCTAAATAAAACTGTGGGCTTTCTCATGAGAGTAAATTGTCCTACTTTGTCTGCTGGAACAGAAAAGTATGGTTTAGCACCCTCCTGCTGCTTACAACCCATCTTTAAGTACCTGAAGAACAAGCTGAAAGCCAAGATCACAACAGCCTTGAGGAATTCACCTGTTGCAACCAGAAGCAGCACACATAAGAAGAGAGGCAATAAATGAAGGTACACTTGTTGGTTTTTGATAGTGGTCTCTTCCTTTTGTAACTGCCTCTGCAGCCTTCTGTCCCCTAAGCACCTTCATCTCACTGTGTAGAAATTCACAGTTCTGTGTTTGAAACTAGTTTGGTTTTGAGAAGAAAAAGACAAAAGTGAACTATTAGGAAAGAAATGCATTGTTGAAAGCCTTAAGCCAAAAGACTTTGGCTAGCTGTGAAATTTAAAGTTGAATTAAAGATGTTAAAGTGCACAAACTCTCATCTATCATTTTCTATACTAAACATTCTATAGTTATGGCTGTATAATAAGACTAAACTATCAGGAAAACATTTGCTTAAGTACTTAGCTTCATTAGAAGGCCAAGTTTAGAATAGGAAGAGCGTGTAAAAAATCTGTTTTCTCCTTTCTCTGTACCATGTGTTTAAAATCTTTCAAGAGCTGGAACATCCACCTTCCTCCTTGAAACATTTGCTGTTAAGCTGAACAGGGAAGTACACACTACTTCCTTCCCTCCAGTCAGACTTGGTGTGCCCCAAACATGACACATGGAGGTAAAATAATTTCCATTTTAAAGCCAACTAAGACAGTGAGAATTCTGGACATGAGTTGCTATAGATACAATAGTCCAGCAACCTGCAGTTACCAAACTGATGCAAAGTAATGACATTGCTGTTTCCTCTCAGCTGTTTAACTTTAGACAGAGATGGGAAACAAAGTTTTTAAATTTACATACCCAAGGCTTGCAATGTGTACAAGCAGCAGTTCAAATAATCTTTAAAGTGAATGTAAACAAAAGAGTTATTCTTAATTTTCAGTTCAAGCCCATGGGAATCCTAAGTGTTCAATAGCCACAAAAATCTCTTTACGGATGACAAAACCTTCTCCTACAAGTGTAGAACCTTCCAATCTCAGTCAAAGAGAGAGAAGAGAGTAGCAACTTCCCTTTGTATTTATATCCATTTCAGATTTCAGTCATCATCTCTCTCAGAAGAAACTTCTGTCCTGTTTCGCAGCAATGGGTAAAATGTAAAATTCTATGGGAAAGGCACATTCAGTTGACTGCTCTTGAGAGCAAGCACAGCTTTTTTTATTGATGTCAGATTTACTGTTACTACATCTGAATGAAAATGGTACTAAACAGCCAACTAACAGAGTGCCTCAGTTCCCTGAAGAAGGTTGCACTGGAGATGGAATAGCTGAGGATGCACAAAACCTGCCTGTTTTGTAAGGGCTGGTCAGCACACAACTCAAAGAACAGTCACTTGTGTGAACTCTGTGCATGAACATGTAGCTTTATTTATGAGAGAAGCGTGAGGTGACAGAATATCTGTCTTCAGAAGGAGACCAATATGATCCTTCAGGATAACTGCTCAAACTGTCCCACAATGCCAGAGGAGGCCAAAAGCACTCAAAGGAAAAAGGGATATACAACATCATCCATTTGTGCAATTCTTAGGTCAACCCATTAAATTCCTTGGTAGAGAAGGTCGTATTTAGGAATGTTGTTGGGGTCAATAGGACTTCTCACAATGAGCTTTCCCCGCATTGCTCCACGGTAGATCACTTCAATCAGATCTATAAAGTCTTGCTTTGTTTTGAAGCTTCCTACAAATTTGGTGTGATCTGGAGACCTAAATATAAGCACAAGACAAAGGCAGAATTTAGAAGGTAGAATATAACATTAAAATATTCAGAGAAAAAACACCTAAAAATGTGAAAAGTTGCCCAAATGAGATAAGGAGCTCTGATCTAGTCATTCTGAAAGAATGAACTAACTTTGTAACAAGTCAGGAATATGCTGTGACCTCCAAAGGTCAAACAGGTGCACTGTCATTTCTAAGTTTTTAACCATTTCTTACTATTTTTTGCAGAGTCAGACATATTTCACCTACTTATTGCATCAGAGCATATTTCAAATTACTTCCCTATTTTACATCCTTCTGGCTTCCTACAGAATTCTCAATGCAGATGCTGGTAACAACATTATAATTTTCAAATATCATCTTCTCCAGACATGGTAACATAGACTGATAATTCTTACAGGCTTAATATACAATGGTAGGATGACTTACCCATAATCAACCTTCATGTGCTGTCCATTGAAGAAAAATACAGTAGATGGAATATAACTGATGTCAAAATACTGGGTGTACACTGGGACATTATTCACGTCCACCAGGTAAATGACTGCCATTTTACTCAGGTCATGAGCTGTTTTTGCAAGCTGGAAAGAGTGAGAAAGGCAGATGACAATTACAGGGAGACATGAGGAAAAGAGGGTGGCAAGCTTTATAAAGCCTGTTTCTCTTATGTGTTACTAGCTTAAGCAGGTATAGAATCTTACATGTTGTCTACCTCAAGCACTTTGTTCAGCCACTACAGTAGTAAAAACACAGATGCTTACTTTTCAAACTTTTTTATAAATATAATTTCATTCTATATTTGTCACTGAACTCTTCATGAGTCCCTATCTTAGCAAAAGCAACATTTTCTTCTATGCACCAACTATACTTGTACACTACGTTAAAAAAAAAAAAAAAGAAAAAAAAGAAAAAAATTGTCTTACAATATCATCGAGCTGCAGACAAACAGCATCATTATCTCGTCCAAAACGGAGAACCAAAACCTTCTCAGCGACGCTTTTTATTGCCTGATCCACTTCCTTCTTACAGGTCAGTTTGGGCAGCAGAAAACTCATCGCGACAGACCACGGTCTCCACTAAAATCCCTACCTGACAGGGGAAAAAAACAACAAAACAAAGCACATCAAACAACAGCAACCTGCGGGCCAAAAAGAAGCGAAACTTCTCTGTGCTATTAAAATCTTTAATAAGGGAGAGAAGAGAGAGAGAGAGAGGGAAACGGAGAGAGACACCACAGATCACCAGGCCGGGCTGACAAACCCTCGGGCCCAGGCGATTGCCGCACGCCCCGGCCCAGTGCGGCGGCGGGGCCAGACCCTGTCCCGCACCAGGAGCGGCGGCAGAACCCACCGGCAGCCCCCTCAGTGCCCGGGGGCTCCCCGGGAATGGAATACGGGAG